TGCTTGTAATCCTCTTCTTGTGCTATTAGTGAGTGATCTTGGGGGTGTGTTGATTCCTTCAAGAGTGATCTGTAGAGAGGATCTTTGGGGTTTAAGTGTAAAGGGGTGAGATTTGAGAGAAACACCCTTCTTCTTGTAAAGGATTGAGTGGCTCCTTTAAAACACCATTGTTTTTGTTAGTGGAGAGTATGGAGGAAATCCTTGGTGAGTGAAGCCAAGGTCGAGGACTAGGCTCCAAGTGGTTGGACCGAACCTCTATAAAATCATTGTGCAAGCTCTTCTTCTCTACTCTCTTTATTTTTGGTTTTGTGGTTGCAAAAAGGGGAGAATTTTTGGAACTCCAATTCACCCCCCTCCTAGAGTGCATTGAGTCAACAAAGTTGTGTTCCAAGAGAAATGGTACTTTTATCTGGCTGCTTTGATTTTTGTTTGCCCTTTTAATTAAAAGATGGTAATCTTCTAAGTGTCCTGATCTCCACTATTGAGCATTCTGTTAATTAATTCGTGTTATTTGGGGTGCTAGATCTTGACATCCTGGTTATATCTGCTCTTGAATCCGTATTCTGGTTGTCATTATTGAAATCTCTTTTGTGGGCCTAATCCTTGAATTCTATTGCTTGTTTCATGGTTAACTCTTGTCTCTCAATTTTGACTGCTTGGTTAAATTTGATCTTGATTCTTGGTGAATGTTGTTTGTTGCTGAATTTTTGAGGCATTCTACCTTGCACTCTTATGTTCCAATATTCTTCCAAGCATTCATATTTTTCACTGATTTCATTCTGATGCTATTTTGGAAATTTCACATGTCATTTGATGGGTCTAGCTTTTAACTCTTGTTAATTGCTAAAATTTGTTTCTTAATTCCAGTTGCTTTGTTAAACATAATCTATCTTATTGGTTAACCTTGTTTTGTGGCAGAATGTATAAGGCATCCATGCACTCGTTCATTCATTCATGATCCACATATCCATTGAATGCTTATCCGTCTTTGATAAAGTTCAAAATTTTGTTGTACTCATCTTTAAATCCATGCCATTCTTTGCCAACTCGTCTTGTGCTGGGTTCATAGCGTAACCCCACAATTGTTCTTCTGTAACCTTGGCAGGATTTATTTTTATTCCTTGTGCTTCCCCATATCACCCCAACCTCTAGTAGCTTGTTTTATGGTAAATCCTGTTAAGTAGTTAATGTTCTGCTTTTATGATTAGTTGTGGTTTGATATCAGAGTGGCGTAGCGGAAGCGTAGTAGGCTATGTTCTGTTCATAAAGAGTTGGTGAGGCATTTGTTTTGTCTCAGATTGTGTGAAGCCATTCACCAGTTTAGATGATCCTCAATTTGAGTTTTGGGGACAAAACTCCTTTTTAGGAGGGGTAAATGTAATATCTCAAAATTTTGTGATATTTTAGCATTTAAGTAAGGGTTTTTGTGAGAGAAAATATTGTTTTGGGGCTTAATAATCGAAATTTCAAAGTTCAGGGACTTAAAGAGGGAAATTTTGGATAAGGATGGCTGATTTTTTCTCTTCTTTCTTTCTTTCTTCAGCCGCCCGATTCTACTCCTTTTCTTCTTCTTTCCCGTCCCCTGCAGCTCCCGAAAGGCCCCCAAGCTGCTGGCAACAATTTTCTTGAGGAAAGCGGTAGAAAGCTTGATTTTATCCTTCTTTTCTTGTTCAAGAATCAGATTTAAAGCTTGGAAATCTCCCCCCCTCTGCAGAATTTTTGGATCTGCCCTGCTCTGCTCTGTCCTTCCGTCGGCAGCTCTTGCTTGTGGGTGTGAAATTCCCTGACTTTTCAGTAAGAATAGCCATGAATCTCCCTTCTCTAGCTTTAATTGGCTTGGGTTTACTCTAAATCCTCTTGGTTCTCCCAATTTTTTGGTAGATTTTCCCCTGCATTGCCGCCGGCTCTTCCCTAAACTACAGCTCCAGTTTTGCTGGGAAATTCTAGTATGTGACAACCCTTTTGAGCCTAAAATTATCCTTTAATTGCTGAATTTGTCCTTTTAATTGATGCCCCATGTGCTGTCCGAATTTTGTTGAATTAGGAAGATGAATTTCGGTAGTAATTAGAGCATAATTAAGCTTAATTCATGTAGAAAATTAGTTTTTTTTTTTTATCAGCAAAAACAAATAGTCATTATATTACTCTCGGAGTATAACGAATACTTCACCACAAAATACAAACCTTTAAACCACAACTCAACAAAAGAGAAAAATCAAAAATGCAAAAGAAACAGTTGTCCAATAGCTAAATACATTTAGAACCGGTGCGACAAGAACTCAAAAAACCCCAAGTAAATCAGATCACAACGCACTGCATCTTCTTGTATTTCTTCAAATTTTGACGATGTTGAACTATAGCTTATTTACAATCCATAGGTCTTGATATCCAATCTGAATAAGAAAACACACATCCTGGCTCTTTATTTTTAATCCATAGAAAAGATTTTGATTGAATAGAATCCAATAACCTCACTTCAGACTGCAAATCTGGTCCAAACACTTTCATATTCCTCCAGTACCACACTAACCAAGCAGTTACCAAAAAAATAAGGCCTCCCAGCTCCTTCAAGCATCCCCCACTTATTCCATACACCACCGACTCCGCCAAACCAAATATATCATTTGGCAAAACACTTTGTAAACCCCACCATCCCAACACCTTCGTCCATACTAACCACACCCTTTCACACTCACAAAAAATATGTTGTAGCCTCTCCACCCCCTCATGACAAAATCCACAACTAACATCCCCACCTGTCAACACAATCCCTCTCTTACACAAATTCTCTCTAGTGGCCAACCTATCCAAAAATAATCTCCACCCAAAAACACTCAACTTAGAAGGAACATATTTACTCCAAATAAGCCGAGACCATTTCTCATCCAGAACACAAACTTTCGGTGATAAAAAATCATAGGCTGCCTTTACAGAATAGATACCATCTCTACCATGAAGCCATTGCCAAGAATCTGCTTCCTCCATCCTCAACCTCACCCCATTAATCATTTCCCTAAACTGTCCCTCCTCACCAACGGCCCTCCCTACACATCCACGACGCCATCTACAATCCCATACCCAAGTATCACCCCTCCAAAAACCCATATCCTTCAAACGTCCCTCCCTACTAGTAGTTAATGCAAACAACCTCGGAAATAAATCTTTCAAGGACTTATTTCCCACCCATTTATCCCTCCAAAAATCTACACATCTTCCCTCACCAACATTCCATTTAAAACCCTTTACTAACATCTCCACTAACCTTTCAGACCCCCTACCCACACTCACAATATCCTTCCACACACGAGACATCGTCAAAGATTCAAAAGAAGTGATATCCACCTCACTCCTCCCCCCATAATATTTCTCCCAAATCACTCTCTTCCATAAACCATCCACCCCATCACCTAGTCTAAACCACCATTTACCCAGCAAAGCAAAATTTCTCCTCTCTAAATCAGCTACTCCTAAACCCCCTCTTCTCTTCTCCACACACATACAATCCCAACTAACCCAAGAAATCTTCTTTTTTGACTTCACTCCCCCCCAAAAAAAATTCCTTTGAATTTTAATCAATTCAACAAGCACACATTTAGGAATTTTAAATAAAGATAAGTAAAAAATAGGAAGAGCAGACAGTACCGAGTTAATTAAGGTAATCCGGCCTCCGAAAGACAGTAGTGGGCTTTTCCAAGTGGCGAGCTTATGACGAAAACGATCCAGCACAGAATTCCAAAACTTTTTCCTCCCCGGATTCCCTCCAACCGGCAAACCAAGGTAGATAAAAGGCAACCTTCCTACCCCACAATGCAAGATTTCAGCTGCACCTTTTAACCACCCTTATGAAATGTTAAACCCATACAAATGACTTTTGCTAAAATTTATCTTTAGTCCTGAAATCAGTTCGAACCAGTGCAAAATGGCTTTCACAACCTTTACATTCCCTGCACATGCCTTTCCCATAAAGACAGTATCATCTGCAAACTATAATAATGACAACACCATATCGCCCCTCCCAATTTCCAGACCTTTCAACAACCCTTCACACTCTGCTTTTTTCACTAGCCTACACAGCCCTTCACCTACTAATAAAAATAGAAAAGGGGACAAAGGATCACCTTGTCGAAGACCTTTGCTAACTGAAAATTCTGACGTCGGACTTCCGTTTAGTAAAATAGAAATCTTGGCTGTTGAGAGACATTCCCGAATCCACTTTCTCCATTTAACCCCAAACCCCATTCTGTCCATCATCCAATCAAGAAAATCCCAATCCACACAATCATATGCTTTTTCAAAATCCACCTTAAATATAAAGCTCTTCTGTTTCTTTCTCTTCACCTCATCTACTACCTCATTCAAAACTAACACACTGACCACCAACTGACGACCCCCAACAAAAGCTGATTGTGACTCACTTATAATATCTGCCATTACCCTCTTCAACCTATTTGCTAAAACTTTCGCCAATAACTTATACAAACAACCAATCAGACAAATAGACCTATACTCCTTAAATTGCACTGGATTCAATTTTTTAGGAATTAATGCCAAGAAAGAGGAGTTTAAACCTTTAACTAACCTCCCATGTTGATGAAATTCCATCAAAAAGTTTACAAAATCATCCTTCAACGTGTTCCAAGCAAACTTTATAAAATTGAAATTGTATCCATCTGGGCCTGGTGCCTTTGACCCATCGCAGCTTCGAAGACCCTCTTCAATTTCCTCTATGGAAAAAAGTCTTTCTAGCCACTCCTTTTGAGATGTAGAAATTTTACGAAATTGGATCCCTCCCATTACAGGCCGACTCCACTGTTCCTTGAGAAATAACTCACTAAAATATTTAACTGCCTCTGCCTTAATCAACTCGGGTTCCTCAATCCATCCCTCCTCTCCTAAGACACCAAATATTGCATTCTGTGCCCTCCTTGTCTGCACACATTTGTGGAAAAAAGCTGTATTTGCATCACCCAAACGAACCCAATTGTTCCTTGATTTTTGCTTCCACACAGCTTCTTTCCTTCGAAAAATGTCCCACATCTCCTGAAAGCATTCCTTTCTCAATAGCACCTCATTCTCGCTCAGCTCCTCTTCCTCACTTTTTTTATCCAACCTCTCAATATGCTTTAACATTTTATCCAGCTGAATCTCCACATTACCAAACACCCCTCTATTCCACCCTTTGCAATCCTCTTTTAATAATTTCAGCTTCTGTTTACATTTGTAAGCCGCCCATCCTTCAATCTGCAAAGTCTTCCATTTATCCTCCACAAAACCTTTGAAATCAGGGTGTTGTTGCCATGCGTCAAGTACTCGAAAAGGCTTGGGCCCCCAATCTATATTTCTTGATGTCAAAATAAGTGCACAATGATCTGAAATTGATCTTCGAATACCAACCTGAACCCACTCTCTATCCAATAAACTCATTTCTGTGGATAACAAAAACCTATCCAACAAACTCATTGAAGATCCATCGGGTCTGTACCAGGTGAATTTCCTATTCCTCAGTCTAACATCTATGAACCCACACTCCTCTACAAATTGATTAAAATCTCCCATGTCCTGTGTCGCACCTAGTCTCCCCTTCCTCTCTGCCACATTCCTTACTGCATTAAAATCCCTTGCTAAGAGCCATCTACCACCCTCTTCCAGTACTAACCTACCCATCTCCTCCCACAACATAGCCTTCCTCTGCCTATCACATGGAGCATACACATTAACAAGGTTACATTTCAATCGCTGCTTACCCCACTCCCCTGAAATCCCAATAAAACCATTTCCTTCTATTACCCTTTCTTTAACAAAATTGCTCTTATTCCATATAGACAACAAACCTCCCGAATTTCCCATTGATTTTTGCATAGCCCAATCAAAATCCTCAGAATACCACAACTTTCTACACAGAGAAACCTCAACTCCCTCTAATTTTGTTTCCTGAATAAATAGAAAATCCGGCTTCTCCTTACTCACCAACTTAAAAATCTCCTTCCTCTTAATCACACTACCCAAACCCCTAACATTAAAAGAAATCACCTTCATAATTAAAACCCATAGCTCACGTACCTACAACAAACCAGTCTCAACGCATCAGGCGTGTCCGAAAGTGGCTCCATCCCTCTCTTCTAAAGCCACCAACCTAGAGAGCACCTCTTCATCATTTTGTTGGCATTGAATCCCCAATTTCTGCCCCATCACAAACAGCTCTCTCACTTCACCCATCTGAAGTTGCTTTCGAATCACCTCATTCCGGTGCCGAATGCACCCATCGGACACAGAACAACTTTCCATCCGCAATTCCTCCCCTTGCACATCTGTGTCCCTTCTATTTCTTCGAGCCTTTGACCTGACCGTGACCCAACCGATGCCTATTTTTCGTGATTCCTCCATCCCAATAACCCTAGCATAAATCGTTCCCAAGCTTCTGTGTTTCTTCTCTGTCCCGTCCGGTCGGGTTAACTGCACATAAGGAGCCTCAAGCCCATTTTCGGACCCACCTTCTACACTTCGTTCTTCAACTTGCTGCTCCACTTCACCACATTCATGTGGCCCATTAAAATGACCTCCATTCGGCCCAAAAGTCTCCAGCCCATTTAATTCCTTATTCGCGCCTGAAACTTCCTCATTTAAATCTACTTCTTTTTGTAACAGAAAATTTGAATCCATTTCCGTTTCAGCACATTCTTCGGCCAACAGTGCCCCATCATCGCCCGGAAATCCGTTTTCATTAAAAGTTGATTCACTGTATCCATCATTGGAATATTCTGAGTCAGATTCTACCACCGGATTCCGTCGTTCCCCGGCCAACCACCAATCCGGGTCCATCCTTCACTCCTCCTCCTGCACTATTATCGGAAATGCCTTGCCGTCAACCATCAGAGAAATTGCGGTTGATATTTTACTCCTTTCCTCACTTAAGATCAACACCCTTCCTTCACACAAAAAGGACTTACTCCTCGTATCCTCATCAACTAATATCACCTCTCCAATTAAACCACCCAATTTTGTGAAGCATCTCTCGCTCCATGCCTTTAAGGGAACACCGGTGAACCGAAGCTATACCATTCTACTCACCAGAGACATTGTGGATAAAGACATTAGTTGTATCCATTTGAACCAAGATTCCACCAGTTCACTGTTATTACTGATAAACTCCACAAGGCATCCTTCTGAATAATCAACTAAAATGACATGGTGACCACCAAGCAAAGCCACATTCACCAGTAAACCATCTACATCCAACCTGTTCTGAATTTTCTTCACCATATCTAAAGCTCGAACCTTCGCTACCATACTTCGTTTCAACCATGCTACTTCCTCATCCTTAGGAGTAAATTCTAATACCAAATCCATTCTTGGAGAAGACTTTTCCTCCAACCTGCCTGCACTTATCACTGGTGCGGTACTCCTTTTTGGTATTTTCTCCAGCACCACATCCTCTACCTGTTCCTTCCCTTTTGTTATCTCATCCTGCCTGACATCCTTATTCGAAGACATCCCTTCCTCAGATGCAACCACATTGCCAGCAACAACATGGGCGTAAGTCATCCCTGGAGTCACCTTACTCTCTCTTCTAATCCATTTTTTCTCAAACTGCCTATTCGGATTCCTTGCTGACACCTCCCTCTCTCTTTTCATGTTCCCTGCCAATTTCACCTTGAGATGATAGGATCCAAGCCAAATCTGATTTAATTTCTGTTCCATATCCTTAGCATCTGAGACCTCTGTCATACGGACGAAACCAAAACGGCGCCCTCTCCAATCTCGCCTTGTAGGAATATACACGTCTACCACCTTCCCAAATGACCAAAAGCAAAACCACATATCCTTCACTAAGCGATCTGCTGGAAAATCATAGAAGAAATACGTAGTTACCTGCGCTAGAAACTGCCTGCCGAACCCCGGAAGCTACCGCTTGAGCCCACTACCACTGTCCTTGGCTGCCGGAAAACGTGCCTTAACCCTAGCACTCCCCCTCTCCATTCTCTCTTCATGTAGAAAATTAGTTAATTAGTTGTTGTGAGATTTTGGAGAAAAATCCCATGAATTAGCCATTGTTTTGCCAATTTATGGAAGTACAGTTACTGTTCACGGGAATTGTTTACGGGCACTATTCACGCACTGATGGCCAACAATTAACGGGGATTAAATGTTTAGTTTGTAATATAAGAACAAATTTGAAGATGTTTGGTCATGTGGAGATTGATAGGAATAGCATCGTGATTAGGGGTTAGTCATGGTGATTTTACTTTTGAATCCGTGGTACGGTAATTAATTCTTGGATATTTTGATTAGGTTCCTGATCGTTCTGTCAGTTTAGCATTGAGATCGAGTCTTCGGTTCTATGCAATTGAGGTAAGTAAATTTATGATAATGCCCATATAGTTTTTAAAAGCATGTTTTGACTTGTTTTTGAAGTGGTAGCGGGACTAAACCCGCTTTATACAAAAGTAAGTATGATTGATTTGAAGTGAAATTTTTATACTTTTCATTAAATTGAGCATGCCTACTTGAACTTTAATTGATTGTCCTGATGATTTGAAAGTGATTGGTGAATTATGATTTTTCTGTTAACTTCTGCCTGTTTTGTCTCCGATGTGGTCATGTTATTAGTGACCCTGCTAGTGGGGGTTAAACGTTAGCACATGTCGACATGTTATTGATAGAACCGATTCGTTTGAGTGACCCTGCTAGTGGGGGTTATACACCAGCAAATAGTGTAGCCTGCCAGTGGGAGATTTATAACACTAGCCATGACCTATAGAGGAGATGTCTATTTCGTTCCCATACTGTATCCATTTTTCGTGATTTGCACATGTTGGCATGCTATAAGTTTAATAAGGGGCACTCCATATTTTACTTACTGAGTTTATCTCATAGTTTTTCCTTGTCCACCATTTCAGGAAGTGAAGTCAAGGATGGGGAAAAACGAGGGGAGTGACGAGTTAGAAGGCTAGTCATCTTGTAAATCTGATATAGATTTTAGATATAGATCATGATCTTGTAAGCAAGATTTTATTGGAGATTTTATAAATTCATTTAATGAATTGTTAGTTTACAAGAGATTTGACCTTGAGATTTTGAGTTTAAGTCATGTTGGACATAGAATTATGTTGAGATATCTGATTTAAGTTATTGGATTGTCAGATGTAAATTGGATAAGTTCCGAGCCTTGTGCATTTGTGGGACCTTCTCACGAGTGCACGGCATTTGTTACGCCTCGGATTTAGGTTCTGGGGCATGACAAAACTCATGGAAAAAAGATGTCATCAAAGGTCATGAGAGTGTATGCATTTATATATTTAAATACTGACTCCTCATTTTTTTCATTCAAAAGTTTTTAAATATTTAAACTGTTGGTTTTTTATATTAAGATAATGTTGCCTCTTCATCTACCACATTTATTCATCAATTATTTTTATCATTTACAATTTTCAATTATTTGCCTATCTATCACTTTTATTATCCTTTATAATTTTCATTTATTTATAACTTATAATTTTCATATATTTTGCATATTTTGTTTCAACATTTTAAATTACTATAATATTATATTTTAAATAAATACATACCCTATTTAACGAAATTGGGTATAGATTTTGTGTATATATATATATTTATTTAATTATTATTATTTTATTTATATATATCCTATTTAATGCATATAGTAGCATTATATATATATAGATTTTGCTACTATTAAGGCCCAAAATGCATTAAGGCCTAAAAAATAAAAAATAAAAAATAAAAAATAAAATTTTATTAGAGTCTAGATAATTCTTTCATTTATCAACTGAATTTAATCCCTTTTTAAAAAAAATTATTTTAAATTGTGATCTTGTTTGGATACTTTAATATTTTCTTTTTTAAATTAAAATGATGACTATCTGATGCACTAAAATCACTTTAGCAAGTTTACTAGTCGGTCTAAGTAATATAATGATGAATAGAGTGTCAAACTTATGAGGATTGTGTTTAATTAAGTGCCAAAATAATTAATTTAAATTTATTTGAACAATCAAAAAGAGGGGATTTTAATTAAAATAACAAAAAGAAACTAACAATTAAAATAAAACTATCCAA